GCACTCTTTAATTAATACGAGTAATACTATATATTGGTCATTAATTAAAAAATTGTATTGTTGAACACTTCTAGTATACACTAAAATACTCCTCTGTCCGTTAATGTTTGTCATACTTTGACTTTTGCGGTCTTCTAGGTAGATGTTTGACCGTAATTATCTATTAATATGTACCTATAAATCTATTATAAATTGACATTTGAATAATATAATACATATTACAAAGAATCACATTAAATAATTTTTTAGGGATAAAATATTACTCCCTCCGTCCCTGAATTTACTTCCAACTTTCCCTTTTCGTCCGTCCTAAAAAGAATTTCACGTTCCCTTTATGGCAAAAAATTTGTGGTTCACATCATTTCTCTCTCCTCTGCACAACTCTCCACCACACAATTCTCACTTTCTTAATCACCGTGCCACTTTAATTTGGAAGAACATTTAAGAACGGATGGAGTATTAATTTTGAGTAATTAGCGGTCGAAGTTTAACAAGTTTGACTCAAAAAGTTAAAGTAGGTATTGGATTTAAACACTAATATGGAAAAATAATATTCACTATTGATATGCTGCTAACGAGCCAGTACATCTGCATATATACATGTTTGCATGTTGCCCTATTCTAAACTAGGCTAAATAAATAAATTTGGCCCAATTAAAATACAGTTCGGCCTAATTACAAATATTTTATATACGTGCGTTAACACTTCTTTTAAGTTGGAGCACGCGGATCCAAAATGTCCAACTTGCCAAGAAGGTAGTAAAATTGTCGTTTGCCAAGGGCCTTAGTGAAAATGTCTTGATAAAACTGTCGATGCACATCCGCCATGTGTTGCCTTTTGGGGCCACGACCACATTTGTCAATCACTTCACGTGGATGACCGGCCGGATGTGATGGATGCATATATGCTGAGGAGCGTCCCAGTCTCAGCCTTGATGAAATCACGTCGTTCGGCTGCCATATACCTCTTCTTCTGCTGGATGGGTTTGGAGTCGGCCCGAACGGCCAACTTGTGACAGATGATCTCCAACTCAATCCCCGGCATGTCCTCAGACCTTCTGGCAAAAAGGATTTTAAATTTCTGAAGGACGAAGATCACTCCTTCTCTGATTTCAGGCTCAAGATCGGCCTCGATGGACACCTTCCTGTTGGACGGGTCGTCCAGCTCCACTTCCTCGAGCAATGTGGCTGGTTTTGGTCGAGCCTCGAAATCAGCTCGTCTAGCGGTCTTTGAGATGCTGTTGACCCTTGCCTCCTGCTCGTCGAGCCTCTCCATCGCCTTGTGGTAGCAGGCCCTTGCCATATGGGGTCCGTACGTGCCATTTCAACCACCGACTCCGTGGGGAACTTGATGCAGGAGTGCCGTACGGAGCATATGGCCTCAAGGTCCTCCTGCCCCGGTCGGCCGAGGATGGCATTGCGGGCCCACTTTAGGTGAACAACAACGAACGTCATGTCTAACCTTGCCTTGTGCAGCCCATCTCCAATTTCCACGGGGAGGGTGATCGTCCTTTCTGCATCAATGCAGTCCCCGGTGAATCTAGCTAGGAGGTTGGCAGAGGAGTCAGGTGATCCTTCCTTAGGTGCATTTTCTCGAACACCTCCCTGTAGAGGACGTTCACACTGCTGCCGGTATCAACAAGGACGCGCCTGATAATGGTGTTGCTGATGTCCATGCTGAGCAGTAGCTCGTCCGTGTGTGGTGCTGGGGATTTCGGCAGGTTTGTTGGCCCAAAAGTGATGGGCTCAACCTTGTTTTTCTTGGTGGGGGCACTGATATGGAGCCCACATAGAGAGCGCTCGAACTTCTTACGTGCTGCGGGGGTGTCTCCAGTCTCAGCACCCCCGAAAATCACTTTGATTTCCGGCTTCTTCTTTCTGTCGTTCGGCCCGAGGGACCCCTCCGAACGTTTATCAGCACTACGATAATCGACGTCCTTGGGTTCGGCCTCGCGCCGGTCATCTCGGCGCCAAGTTCCCGATTTCCTGTAGGGCTGCTTCTGGCTGCTCTACGCCAAGCTCTTTGTAAACTCACCGAGTTATCCCTGACAGACCAACTCGTCTATCGCCATCTTGAGTTGCTTGCAATGGTCTGTGTGGTGGCCCGTCCTCCGATGATACTCGCAGAAGGCGTTCAGGTCCCTCCCCATTAAGGCCTTGGGGTCCTGAGGTTCTGCGAGGAGGCCTTTGTGCTTTATTGACTCAAAAATCTGGCTCACCAGATATGCCAGGGGGACACGCTCCCAGTCATGGGGACGTTCGTGACCACCCTCGGCCTGTGATACCCACGGAGTCATGCCGCCACCCACCTTCTTTTTCTTTGCCGTGGGGGAGCTTTCGGATCCTGGGCCCAGCAGATCCGCCATTTTCTGGACCGGAGCAGCTGGCGCCCCATCCCTTTGTCTTATCTCATCTTCAATCGAGGCAAACTTCTGGGCTCATGTCAGGACTTCAGTGTAGCTCGTCCCAGGGTTCCTCTTGAGATCCCGGTATAGGTCTCTGGTAGTCAAGGCACTAGTTAACATGGTGATCCCCAAGTTCTCGTCCAGGTCGTCAACCTGTAGGACCTCGTCCCTCCATCGGACCAAGAATTTGGACAGGGTCTCATCCTTTCCCTCCTTCAAGTTCGTCAGTGAGGTGAGGTGTTTCATTGGGGTGGGGCTGGCTGCGAATTGCGCCATAAACTGCCAAGAGAGCTGTTCATAATTGTCTATGGTTATGGGCATCAGCTGCCCGAACCATTCCTGGGTCGGTGCTCTCTGAGTGCTGAAGAACAGCCTGCAAATAGCCTCGTCTGATGCTCCCAGCATGGATAGATTCCCTTGGAAATCGATCAGGTGAGCCTTCGGATCCCCGCTCCCATTGTATACCAAATTGCCCTGTGGTCCGCAGTTGTGTGGGATCTCTGCAGCTATGGCCCTCGGGCTGAAGGGTGATGCAAGGGAATACCGGGGTGCAGCTGGGGTGTTCTTTGCTCGTCCATCCATTTCGGCAATGCGCCTCTCCATCGCCTCTAGCCTAGCCTCCTGTGTGGCCAATTCTGGGGTCATAGGGGGGTTGGCCTCAAGGACGACGTTTGCATTGGCTCCGACTGCGCCGTCCTGCCTTCTGGTGATATGGGCACCGCGCCTCTGGAAGCGTTGCCCGATAATGCTTGCTGCGGGAGTCACTTCCCCGCCTTGGCGTCCATGGGGGACATTCGGCGTGCGAGTACGCACGTCATCGTGCCTCCCTTGGTGGGTGACGTTTGTTCTGGAGTGTCCTACCATGTCCTGGGAGGGGGGCGTCCCGCCTACCCGTGTGTGGAGTGGAACGGTGTCCGTCTGACTCCGCCGTTTCATCGAACGGCTGCATCTGGTGGATGGGAGATATGGGCGTATAAGCAGTGTTAGCAGAATACACCTGCTCATTGGCCTCCCGCTCGTCCGCCATCCGCTGCACAGTTTCTGCCAGCTCCCTCATGATGCGAGGGTAATGCATGGCCTCCTGGGGGATGAGGCTGATGAGGGCACCACCACCCCCCGTGGACAGAGTTTCAGAACGCTCCGTGGTCTGTCCGCGGGTCCTCCGACTGCTCTCCAGCTGTTCAGAGAGGTCACGCTGTTGTTGGTTGTTGTTTCTTGCCATCTTGCTTACTCAAGGTATTTTTTAGTAGCTTTTGGGAGAGATTTTGGAAACTTTTCGTTCAGGTTCCCATAGACGGTGCCAGTGTTGAGGTATATTCCTTCAACCCTCGGGTCCAACAAATAAGCTCAAGGATTTCGAGTGGATGATGGATATTGTGTGTGAATATATTGTGCAAGCAAGTAAGATGGGCTAAGAAATGAAGCAGGTAAGTGGATCGAGTATTATTAAAGTCTACACAATATGTTTGCTAAGGCCGTTCGTTTTACACCTCAGTAGAAGAGCCGCGAGTAATAAGCTAAGAATAAGCTAGAATAGTAAGGCAGATAAGTTGTCATCCCTTTACAATGAAATAAATGCTGCTATTTATACCACTAGTGGGCAGTTGGCTATGCTGATGTAGAAAGCGGTGAATGGCTGACGCCTCAACCACCAAATTCTTTAGCATTAAATGTGTTTCCCGCCAGAATCCGGGTTTCCCGCCCAATTTCTGAGACGTACGTCCCCCTTAGATTGGGCCCTGCTCTTGGCAATGCTGCAAAGGGTTATGGGTCGGACGTCGCCTGGCCCTTGTGTAGAATTCGTTGATTAGCCCCTGGATTGGGTCCTTGAGAGTTGAGACTAGCCATACTCTGCATAGACATTCGTCTTCACCCCCTAATCTTTGACGGGCCAAGACGTTCGTCCGCGTAAGGCTTAATGGGCCGATCCTCCAATTGGGCCATTAATCCAACAATCATTTAACAAATTATCAGCTAATTGTAAACAGTCATTTAACCAATCACTACTTGAAGAATTGCTAATCCTATCAGCTAATCAAAACAGTCAATTGAAACTGCTATTATCAATCAGCTAATACAATCAACCAATAACTAATCAGCCAAACACCCTATATGACATCAATAACTTCATACTAATGCATGTTAGTGCCAACTGCCAAGACTTGACTATATGTTTTCAAGAGAAAACTAGTTTACTCATATTTCGGAAAATGCAAAACTCCAATTGACAAATTTCACAACGTTTTACTTTTATTTTAAAAAGTTTCCCATTGAATTATTGTTATTATTCACATTGCTGTCTCAAATAAGCTTATGAGTTACACTTTTATTTATTTTAATGGGAAAGGTTGATCGAATTATATTATTATCATAATCAGTCATAATATTTATTCTGATGCAATTTATATTATGATTATGATTGACAAATTTCATTTGATTTTACATTCGATCACAGTAACCAGCACAAAATACTCTGTTAACTATCAAGGGTGTTTCAAAATATTTATTTACGAAGATGATAACAAACAAATCGTTCAAAATCTATCAAGAAGTGTTTCAAATATGTAGAGTTTTCACTCATTGTAATATTTAGGTATTTTCTTCTTATAAACAATAGGTATTGCCTTTTATATAGAACTATAATCAACTAATACATTTAAACACGTTTCCTATTCCACAACTCTCAAATATTATTAATCCAAAGTAATTATAGTATATAAGTTTTTGCTATTTTTTGTATCGTGCATTGCACATTTACACGGTTGAAAACCTAATTTTTACACGGTAAACACACACATTGGTCAAAATAAAAAATGAGAATGAACTGCACTAGTGAACTAAGTGTGCCCAGTGTGGAGTACAATAAGCTGCAGTAGGATCGCGAGAATGCTGCCCATTGATATGTTGATCACATTCACTGCATCATTGCTCAGCTGGAAATCAAACATGAAGTACTGTTAAATATATATAGTGAAGAATTCCAGATAAAAATAAGATTACTGATTACCATATGCATCATTTCATTTTCATGGAGTAATTATTTTATGGTGGGAAAAGGTGCAAATAGGCCCATGTACTAACCAAAAAAGGTCAAATAAACCCTTATTTAAGAGACTCTGTCCGGCCGTCGTCATTTAGGGTGGTTCCCGGTGGAATTTTTTGATGAAATTTTTTGAGCATCTTATTCATCATGTCTAGTTTACTCATACCAAATTTCAGCTAAAACTTCAATCGGGAAGGCATTCAAATGAATTCTTGAAGATAACTGCGCTTCTAACTGGCATCCAAATTTTCAAGAATTCATTTGAATGTCTTCCCCATTAAAGTTTTAGCTGAAATTTGGTATGAGTAAACTAGACTTATTAAATAAGATGCTCAAAAAATTTCATCAAAAAATTCCAACGGGAATCACCCCAAATGGCGACGGCCAGACAGAGCCTCCTAAATAAGGACTTATTTGACCTTTTTTGGTTAGTACATGAGACTATTTGCACCTTTTCCCTTTTATGGTAGTACTTCGGCATCTTTACAAGGAAAATTAGGAAACCAGAAAAAGAACGATACAAACTTACCCATCCAAATCCTTCCTTCCCCTGAAACGTAGCTCCTATCAGACTTTCACCAAAGTTAGCTATTTGGGAAGCCAAAACACATATAGCCACTTCATGTCTGTTTATCTGCAAGTAAGCTTTTTGGTCAGCTTGTGAATAGTTAAATCCTCAATTCCACAATTTTTTGGTCTATTTGTTTACCGTTCAGTTTTAGGGTGTGTTTTCAGATGACTTATTTTCAATAAATAGGTGTTTTTTGTAGGAACAGTACTTTAGTTTAAAATTATAAGCGTTTGGTATGTGCTTAGATACGGTAGTACCGCGTTGGTGCTTTTGAGTGGTTAAATGAGAAACCACTTTTGTAAAAAGAAATCATGCCACAAGTCGTCCCAAACAAACTCTGCATTTTTTTCTGAGTTTTTGTCTCTTTTCATCCTCCAACTATTATGTCGTTGACAGTTTTGATTCTCAACTTCAACTATTGTGCGAAAGACACTTTTAGTACCCGTCTTTGAAAATTTCCGCATTTAGTCATTCAACATTCATAAAAGTGACATTCTTGTCAAACTATTGTAGTAGTGACAATTTTAGTCCTCCACTTATTGTGTCAAAAACATATTGCAAGGACTAAAAGTGTCAATTTGATAATACTCATGGACTAAATCAGGAAAATTTTAAAGTCGAGAACTAAAAGTGTCTCTTGTACAATAGTTAAGGACTAAAAATAGAAAAATTGAAAGTCGAGTACCGAATGTGTCCTTGACACAATAGTCGAGGGACAGAAAATTATAAAAACTCCATTTTTTTCCAAACATGTACGTAGTATTTTTTTTATGATGTCAAGAACAAAGGTTTTAGTTTTGGGCTGATGGGGTCTTACTTTAACAACGCACTCTGTTATACTGCAGAACTTTTAAAAGTGAACAATCACCCACAACTAATCTTGCACAAATGAGTGTGATAATAAAGAAACGGTAATAATATATGTCGAGAAGTCCATACCTGACCAGTTATGCAAGCAATGGAAGCCAGGAGAATGGAAGCAAAAAGTCCAGCAAAAGTTCCCTCGACACTAACTGCTCCTTCCGTTCCTCTTGGAACTACCTTGAGTGTTGTAACAAGGTATCTGCAATTGAAGTTACATCATCTAACTCTTAGTTTCCGTGCAAGGCATATTTCTAATTACATATCCATTTTTTCATTACTGCTGCCAATTGAAAAAAGTGAACTATGCACATTTGTCCACTACTCAGTAATGAAACAGTAAACTGTGGAGCCCTTCTTTGTGCAAGATTTTGCTTTGAGATCTAGCAAATTTGGCTGTACTTCAAATAGCCAGGAAGAAGATTAAAGCATGGCTAATTGTCCTACAATGAAACAAACTAATAGTAAACCACGAAACTAATATCAACTAAAAAAACTAAAGAATCTAGCACCAGCTTCAGCATACAAATGCTAGTTCTTGTTTTCCTTGTCAATAATTTTTGGGTCTTATTTTCTATGAAAGGGTTGGGGGAGGGAGAGACATCAAGTGTTTGTTTGCTACCTCACTAGCTTGGCTTTACAAGTCATGTTTTCCATCATACACTGATTTATTGTACTGCAGTAACTGAATAAGTTGATATAAAGAAGTGGCTGAAATGAATATAAACGACCCTTCTACGGTTCTACCATCACCTTTTAGACACTAAAATGTTATTTCGTTTAATTTATTAACAACTCTCCAATTTTTCTACATCTTTAAATTTCAGTTCAATCAGTAATTTCAGACTGTTTTTTATTCCAACAAATGGGCTCTACGTAGATAAAGTTTGGGAAACATCTAACAGAACCAAGGAGTAGGGAAGTAGTACTGACGTTGTTTTACCGTACGCCTTACCAATCTCACTGGAGACAGTGTCACTCAACTTAGTGCAGAAACATGCTACAAATCCAAGTTCCCAAAGCCTAGAGAAAGCAGTTCCCCCAATCCCTTTAATTGACAGTAATGCACAAGCGCAAGCAGCAGCACTGGAACCAATCACACTTCCTAATCCTCTCCTTCCACTCCTCTTCTCTGCAATGCCTTGAGCCTCTTTCTGGGCCATCTTCACCTTAGTTGCAGCAGTTCCCTGACAAACTGATATATCTTGAACCATATTTCTTCAATAGCAGTTTTAAAAGCAAAGAACTTTAGGCCCCATTTGGTTAATATCAATTTTACCAAACGATTTTCTTTTCTTTTCATAAGTAGCCATTTTCAGCCAAATAACACTCAACAAACGAGCTCTACACCTGGAATCGTGGATATACAGTGTATCAATCTACCATCCTCTCTAGTTAATCACAAAAAACTATAATTAAGATTGATGATGCTTCAGAGCATTAAAATGGTCCACAACTAAATGTTTCTAGATTCGAGCCCCATTACTGTAAAAACGAGAACTTTCAACAAGTCATAAATCCAGGTATGAACACTGAAGAGAGGCTTGATTTTGTGCTTACAAGTATGAAGTAGGCAGCGACGAGGAGAAATCCAAAGGAGCCAAATGCGCGCCAAGAGAGGGTACCGAGCCAGAAAGCGGAGGCCGCACCGGAAAGCGACAGGCCGGAAACCAGAAGGGGGGAGCCAATTGTGAAGATGATGAGGTTGCTGGCGATGGAGGACTGCCACGTCGGCGGAGAGGTTTGAACGAATTGGATTGCTGTCTTTACAATGCAGAGATCGAGCGGAGCTGGTAGGGCTCTGATTGGGTGCTGGATGCGCAATCTCTTGGGCGGCATAAAGTTTGGTACTTGAATACTGATAGATTTCGGGCGATTACAGCAGGAAATAAGAGGGGGGCTTGAGTGACGAGAAGCTAGGAATGAAAATGTGTGACCTGAAGTGGCCATTTGAAGCTGTGTTCTGGGGAACTTCTTTAGAACTTTCTCAAAAATGACGAACCAGTCTGTTGAATGTTGAGGTCCCTGAGGATGAATTCAATTAGGTTGTTGCTAGAAAACCCCCGCGTGGATCTGAATAAACCTTATCTTCGTCACTCTAATTCTTTTCGCGCTTAAGCTTGTGTAGATCCACTAAAGCAAATTCAAATATCATGGATTGTGTAATATCCAACAGTAATGACTTGGAAGCTGTGAGAAGTTGGTCTTCTCTAGCTTACAAAAAATGATTCTAGAAGTAAATTAGAGCACCATGATTACTTCAACACTTTCACTTAAACACTCCAACTTTTGTTTCTGCTCCCTGAAGAAACAGAAACAGTTTTAATAATTAGATCCAAACACTCCCTATATATAAAAATTCCCCAACCCTCAATTGTTTGCAAGTCATTTCACATTTCTGCTAATGTGTGATCAAAGTTTAATTTACATCCTTCCATATAGTTGTTTGATCAATTCTGTGAGCCCATCAAAGATGGAATGTCATTCTTTTTTGAAAGCCTTTACACATTTCAAAACCTTTTTTAAATTAGTTGACATTTTCCTTCAACTAAATGGCTATTCTATTAGTTTATGATTAAAAAATAAGTTGGAATATGTCTTTGATTTTTTAGAAGAGAAATGCAAAGTGATCTCAACATATTGTTTTAAATTGTCGTTATTGAATTAAATTAAATTTATTTCTAAGTTAGGTCACTATTGTTTGATGTCAAGAGATGCATCTACAAGAGGTCAATTTGTTTGCTTCTTAGTCGAAATACATAGTATATATAAGGGAAAAGGTGCAAATAGGCTCATGTACTAACAAAAAAAGGTCAAATAAGCCCTTATTTAGGAGGCTCTGTCCGGCCGTCGCCATTTGGGGTGGTTCCCGGTGGATTTTTTTGATGAAATTTCTTGAGCATCTTATTCATTAAGTCTAGTTTACTCATACCAAATTTCAGATAAAACATTAATCGGGAAGGCATTCAAATGAATTCTTGAAAATAAATGCACAGTTAGAAGCACAGTTATCTTCAAGAATTCATTTGAATGCCTTCCCGATTGAAGTTTTAGCTGAAATTTGGTATGAGTAAACTAGACATGATGAATAAGATGCTCAAAAATTTTCATCAAAAAATTCCACCGGGAACCACGTCAAATGATGACAGCTGGACAGAGCCTTCTAAATAAGGGCTTATTTGACCTTTTTTGGTTAGTACATGAGCCTATTTGCACCTTTTCCCTATATATAAATTGTGTATTATTAGAAGACACTTAAAGCGTTGATTTTGAACACCAAAAATTAACATGAGTGACCAAATATATGCCTAATCAAGCAAACCATCAAACTTCTTTGCCACCTTAAGATTCACTCCACTACCCAACATCCCATTAGACTTCTTGATTTAAATTAACACCTACAGATTTTCCAAAAAGTTAAAATCCCTTAAATGTATTATCTACCCATACTAAGTTACTAACTGACCACCACCACCAACCCAAAAAAAAAAAGATAATCAGAACACTTCTCTTGACTTTCTTGCTCATCTTCCTCTCCCAGTGCACAGCCATTTTCTGATTTTCTTGCTCAGCCAGCTGCTCTTCCCCAGTATAAATCACAGACTCACAGGAATACTAGTGAAAGCCTGTCAGTTTTCAACATTCATCCATCTCTTAAAGAGCGCACAATCAGCAGACTGCCGCCACCAGGAACTGGTTCGAGGAAGTCCCCGCCAAACATAACTATCTACGGGAATTGGTTAACATCACAACAGGAGTTGTCAATTGCGATAGTTGAAACGCAGTATACACCGATAACCACCAGCTACTAAGCTGTGCATGAGGTTGATCAAGAGTTTCTTTCATTAAAACTCGTGGCAATTATACCAAGTCATATCTCTTATCTTTGTAGTAAAGTAGTAGGCAAAATAAATTCAACTTTTGCCCCATTAGAAAGTAAGGAGTTCACACAATTGTATCAGCCGGAAATCGGAATGCTAAAAGTGTGGTAGTAATTCGAATTGAATACCCGCCAAAAATAACAATGTGCCACTATTCTAAATTTCGGACAAGACTACGCTAAAAGTTACAATGAAAATGTCACTTATCCAATGAAAAAAATGCCCTCTCTTGATAACAAACAAATAAAACAAGGAACTCTTTTATCATAGGGACATAGCAGTAGTCTACCTATGCAGCAGATGCAATAATAGTGCTTCCTTTTTACTTGCTAATAAATGGGTGAGTCATCAAAATTGGAAACCTCCAAATCCACCACCTGGAAACCCTCCTTCAAAGTGGAACTCAAAGTTACCTCCCTGGAACGGGTGGTGAAACCCTCCACCACCCATTCCAGAACCCGCTTCATCGATATCTTCTCCTCTATCATACCGGGTACGTTTTTCTTCATCACCAAGAACCTGCAACAAAGATTGGCATCTCATGTTATGTGTGTGATGAGGTATATTCCCCAAACCGGAAAACCCGAGCCGGTTTCCAAACTAGAGACCTCAGGACCAGGGGCATATCTGGAGAGGGCAATGGGTCACTGCCACCTAACAGCAACCACTTTTCACATATTCTATACATAATAAGTCATTTATTAATGACTTTTATTTTTTACGAAGTACATTATAAGCCATAACACAAACTATTATGTGCAAAACATAAACATAAATTCATTTTTAATGACAATTTGCATTTGTAATTTAAAATCATTTCTGGCAGTTCTTTTAAAAAAATGAATTATTTCTGACAGTTCTACTATTTGGAAAAATAGAAGTTTCTTGACATTTCTAACGAGTGCATTGCTATTTTATATATTGCTCATTGTAGTTTGAGCAGTCATTGTGATATTTTAAAGTACTTGGTTTTTTTTACTTCATTAAGAAAAAAATCACTCATGGATAACTCAGCTTTAGTGGATAACACTTCCCATTATATATTCAACAAAAACATGAGACATAGTTAGAGGCAAACCTCGTATGCTGCTGCTACATCCCTAAATTTGGCTTCAGCTTCTTCTCTGTTGTCAGTATTCTTGTCCGGGTGCCATTGCAAAGCAAGCCTCTTATATGCTTTTTTAATCTCTGATGCAGATGCAGTTTTTGAAATTCCCAAAATTTTGTACCAATCTTTTCGTTGGCTCAACTTTAATGATCTCTCAGCCCGCATTAAAATTTCACGAATATGTCTATCCTGGAAGTGCGAAAGTTAAACCTTCAACTTAAGCATTGATATCCCAAAAGATAGATAGAACCTTTGTTAGGTTATGATATTAAAATGTATTCTGCAATAGGCCTAAGAGTATTATTCTTCAGTTCGGTTTGTTTTAGTTTTGAAAAATGCAAATCCATGAACCGATCCGAGTAACATAAGTCAGTTTCAGTTGGGTCACTTTTCAGCTGGTTCGTGTCGGTTTTTGCATGTTTAGGTTAGTTTGGGTATTAAATCATAAAACAATAAAATGACTTATGTCGGTATCGGTTAGGGACGGTTTGGTTTTGATCGGTTCGGTATTAATGGATTTTTCTGTCGGCATCGGTTTATCAGTTTTTATTCAACCCTATTCTGTATTCTCTATTTGGTCTACAACTTCAGTTCATTATTTACTCTCGTTTTCAGACTCCAACACAAACCTGTGGAGATTTTTCAGCTGCCAACTTCAAATCAGCCACAGCTCCTTCCCAATCTTCTGTTATAAGTTTTGCTTCACCCCTCTGCAAAAATGATTGCATGTCAATATATTGGTTTAGCAACAAACTATAATATCGTGATTCACATCTAATGAAACTTCTTTAAAAAGAAATACATGAAATGCACTCCTAAATTCCAAACGCACTTTAGGATCATAATTTATACTGGGAAGATCTAAAATGACTGGGATTATGTACAGTAATAATTAAAAAGGACCTGAGTAAGAGCTTCAACAAGTTCCTCATCGATTTGGAGTGCTTCTGAGCAACTTGAAATGGCATCCTTACCTCTGCCAAGCTTCACTAATACTTTGCACAGACCCAGATGAAGATGCACGTTGAATGCAGAATGGTTTGGATCCAATGCTAGAGCAGCTCTATAGTCTTCGACAGCAAGACGAAGTTTTCCCTTACTCTCGTTTTCCTCTGCCTGCACATGAGAAAAACAATGTGTGGTAATCCACATTCGTATAAACATGTGCACATAGTGAAAGCCTATACCAAAGGAAGAATTTCGAAATGCTTACACTTTTTGTCTTCTTAAGTAAATTTTTCAAGCTGAAATATGCTTTCTTCAGTTCACTATGCTCAGGATCTAGTCGAAGACCCTTCTGGTAGTGCCTGACAGTATTAATAAATCATTAGGGATAAATGACATTATGAGTCCTTTTGATGAGGCAGAAAATGGCTGAAGTGATGAAAACATATAAATCTAGTAACTCATAGAAAAAATTTATGTAAGAACATCCAAGCCTTGATCAAAAATAAGAGTTTGAGGTCAGCTAACTTGAATTGACATATGACATCGGAGTCATAAATAATAAATACTCCGTAGAAAAAATGATACAAACACAATCAGATCAATCCTCCACAAAATCCAACCAATTTCAGGCATTTCAGCAAATAAATAAATAAATAACTTTGGCACTACTTTCATTAGCAGGCTAAATCTTCACAGGAGTGTAATAAATTGTGTTTTTGATGAAAAATCTGGCTAGAGCTGAAAATAATCCTCCTAAATGTCCACCACGCATATCTTCCCATGCGATCACATGCCCAGGTGTGGGTTGAGGAAAACCACAGAACTAATAACCTTAAACAAAACCAGCTGGAAAGGAAAACACCAAGTGCAACTTAAAAAAACTGAAGGAAAGGATAGAGAGACAGGGAAACAAGAAATGATACAAACTTTAAAGCTACATCATGATCGGCAAGATAATAATAGGCACGGCCACGTAGCAACAATGCATCCATATTATCTTCATCCTCTTTAAGCATAAATCCTGCCTCAGATATGGCACTTGAGTAATCCTTAGCTGCAAGCAAAAGCCTTAGTTTGAGGAGCCTGGCCTGCAAATCCACAGGTCTTATGTCAGGTGAGACACTTCATCACAACAACTAATTACATCAATAATGTCAGAACGACCCAATTCTAAACAAGTATATTGTATACCTTTGAGCAGGCTGGAGAGAAAACTAGTACAACTTTATC